AAGATGAGAGCGCTGGCTGAGGGCAGGTGGTGAGCATGGGTGGATAGGAGGAAGGAGCAGGCTCTCCCCACCAGAGGCGGTGGCAAGCTGTTAATCCAGCTCAAGCCCTTTTGTGAAACCTTACACTTGGTGTATTGAACAGCTACTACAGCTGTCTGATGGGATTCAAATTATATGTGTGCTTGGTATCATGTTTTACTCCACTGAAAGCTGAAGGATCCCCAGAGATTTAGATAACAGGATAAACAGACAAACTTCACTTTTCAGAAAGTATTGCTGTTTTCAGATACGCAGAAAGTTCCTTCAGTTTTAAGACTATAAAACTAAATGTGCCAGGGACCAACAAAAGGGAAATGTTCAGATCTGTCCTTCTACATGTGTCTGTCTGCTTCTTCTTTTGCCTTTTATTTCTAAGAATCCTGAGGCATCCTCATTTGTTTAAATCCAAACAATATTTTGTAAAATTTCACTTAATAATCCATTAATCCATTACCATAACATTTTTGTTTTAAAGAAGTAGCTTCATAGCAATCTATACTGTATTTGAATTTGCTCTTTTTGACTGACCACCGAAGAATTCTTCCTGTTTTCTTTATCCATCTTCCAAATGTGATTGGTTTTGTTTTTTCAAGTCATGTGGTTCTCAGCAGGTAGTATCATATGGCGTGCCTGAGTGATCTGATAAACTGTCTTTAGAAGTAAATTCAGGATGATTAAAACATTCCAGTTAGGTAGATGTGAAACACCAGATGAGCAATACAAATGAATTGGATGGGTTAGGATGTCGATAGTAAGCAGATAAGTGGTAGTTTTGAATGTTCTTGCTTTGCATGCTTTAATTTTTTTCATCATTTTGGAGGCGGGGAAGCTGTACTGTGCTTTCATGACTGTTTCCACATACTTGCTTTTTCACTGCTTTCACTGCTTTCTGCTTGATGGAATTGCTGTCACGAAAAAAACAAACTAGCTGAAAACCAGAAGCTTTTCCTACTAAGTGCTAAGAGTTAGCATAAGTGCTAAAGGACAGGAGCAGGCTTATGTTGTTTGCTGTCTACAACTGGGATGATGCAGACCAGCTCTGAGAAGACTTGCTGGCACCGAGCCGGTGTAGTTGGCACATCACACTGCCCGGCTCTGTGCATCTGCCTGCTGTTATCCTGAAGAGGAGGGGAGGGGTGCCTGGGACTCCTTTTACACCGCTCTTTCCTACTGGTAGAATAGAAGGAGGAAGCGGTAGCCAACTGTAATGAGGATAACCTGAGAGGTACCCAGACACCCACTAGGGACCAGGGTGGCCATTGCCTACTTCCTTTAATAGAAAACCAGCTTAAAAGCAGCTGCATTTCACTGCACTGTGTTGAATGCAGCTCAAAAGATCAGTCATTCCCACTGTTAGCACTCAAGTCCTTACCCCAGAGCTGTATGCATGGCTGCTTTGAAGTCCTTGCTTCAGAAACAGCTTGTACCTTCTGGGGGTGGGGAGGGGGTGGGTGCAGGGAGAGAAGAAAAAGGAAGCTGAAACATTTAAACCCGAATTTCGCAGGGATTATTCTTGTTGTTCCCAGCCCTGTGAGGTGATATGTACTACTGTTGGCTTTATGTGGTCTTTGCCTCAGACCAGTATGAAGAAGGAACTCCACTAGGTCCTGGTAATCTCTTGATTTAGATAACACAGTAATTAACGTGATGCAAACACCAGCAAAAGACTGGCAGTTTGGTATACTGATTTAATAGTTCTCAGGTGTGACTTCAGCATCTAAGTCCATTGAAAGGAACAGCACATCTCTATTACATTATTCATTGTATAATCTTTCCCAGTATATTATCATCATCATAACTAGCAAAAAGTAAAGGTATATTAATTCTGCAAATACATTTTGGCCTTCTTTTAAACTCAGTGTAAAAATGATAAGGTTGAGGAGTACGTTTGCTGCATAGAACAAAATTCAGGTTTCTGGTGTCATTGTTTGCCAGGGAGAGCAATAATATGTTATTAACAATTATGTTATTACATGACTGCTGTGGTTTGCATGTAATCTGTGGTCTGCTTAATGCCTTGTTTCGTAAGGGACGTAGTCTTATATGCAAATGAAGGCGCATTCCATATTATCCTAGGGTGGGGGTTTTTTGTCTCCCCCTACTTAAGACTAGTCAGGGAAGGCCAGCAGAAAGATCAAGTAATCAAATCAAGACCTTCTCTTCTTTCATTTGCCTGTTGTAATGATAGCTTAAAAGAAACTCAGAAGAAACCAAACATGTTCAACCAATTTGTAGGTACTGTTCATTGTACTTGCTGCCTGGAAACATGGAGAAATGACAGGCTTCCAGTGTGTCTGACTCTCTAATAAAATCTTAACCCCAGGCTGTTGCTCACAAAAGCCTTTTTTTAATATCGTTTGAATCATCTTCAAAACATTTAGATGTTCTATGAAACTAGAGATTGCACACTACTATCAGTTTTAAAAAAATAAATTCAGGTTTTTGTTTCAAAGAACTGTTCATTAATTTCTTCTGTCATATTCATTTTTATAAGTATTAGTCTATTAGTTGTTTCTGACTTGTTTATCCTGACTAATTTTATCTTGTTTATGATGATGTATGATTATTTGCCACCCAGTAATGTTTCTGTTGCCTGAGTACATCACTAAAATAGCTTAAAAAAAGTAATAATTTTTTTGGTCTATGTCTGCTAACAAATTTTGGTTTTAACTTGTTTATAAACAAGTTATTTTTGTTGAAATCTGTTTGCTGAAACGGTGAAATTTCATGATCCTTTCCTTAAATTACAGTGATCCATTTATTCATGTATATCCAGTACTGCAAGCACAGGAATGATAAACTGAACTTGAGCACTATCGACAAAACAGACAATTGGATAGTTTTCTGATTTTACTAAATTTTGGTTTTAACTTGTTTATAAACAAGTTATTTTTGTTGAAATCTGTTTGCTGAAACGGTGAAATTTCATGATCCTTTCCTTAAATTACAGTGATCCATTTATTCATGTATATCCAGTACTGCAAGCACAGGAATGATAAACTGAACTTGAGCACTATCGACAAAACAGACAATTGGATAGTTTTCTGATTTTACTTTTTTTTTTTTAATTTATTATTCTTTAGTGCTTGCAAGTTATAAAATCTCCCTGACTGTTTTTTTTTA